CTCCACCACCACCAATGTGCAGCCCCACCTGGATGATGTGACGGCAGCCATAGTGCACCAGTACTCTCACCACACACCAGCTCTCAGTGGGGAGGAGAGCAGAGTGATGAAGCCAGTTCAGAGATGGGGATTATTAGGAGGGCATGATTGGTAAAGGCCAATGAGAAATTTGGCAAGGATGCTGGGGTTACACCCCTACTCCTTTTGAGAAACGCTCTGGGATTTTTAATGACCAGAGTCAGGACCTCGGTTTTACATCTCATCCGAAGGACGGCGCTAAGTAAGATAACTTTATTTAAATAAAAATGACTCTGAATGTGTATGTGAATTTGCTTTCCTGCACTTGTCATACCGTACAGTAACACTAACAGAATTTTGGGTTTTCTTTTTAATTAAACACAGGATACAGAATTATTAGTAACTGTGTATGAAAAGTAATATTTTTTTTAGATGCCGATTGTGAAATATACATAGCAGCTTTAAAAACATATCATATTTCAAAGCGAATAACCACACAATAAACGTGTTTTTGCATTTTGACGCGAGTGGCTGAGTGGCTGTATCAGTACAAAGCTGTTGTACAGTATGCAGGGGAGCTAACATTTAAAAACAGACATCTATTGCCTGTTCTTATTCCCTACTCTGGGAAACAGTATATATATATACACATCAAAACAGTATTGCTTAAAAGATGTTGTTTTTATTTTTCTAAAATATCCAGCAGTACACACTTTAATAAATGCATTGAAATATTTATTATCAGAAAAAGACAATAAAACACGTCACTCTCATTACATGTTTCACTGTCAGTTACTATAACACTTAAAATTGGTATTATATATCATAATCATGTTGAACGACAATATAGTAAACAGATGGTTAACTGCTAGTGAAAAGTACAATATCAGTCTATTGTCTGTTAATAATAACCTACATAATGTCTGATATACTCATAAACACAGACATGCAACAAACACATTAGCATGCATGTAACAATGACATGGCTGCCGCTGGCAGAACGTTGTAGAACATACACAAGATTATAATTAAACAAATTGTAAGGAAAAAAAAAACAACTGGTAGAATGTTGTGATTCAAATCAGTACAGAAGTACAGTAGGCCACTGAAAATGCTGGAGACTCGGAAGTAAGCATCATCTGTCCATTTCTAAATAATGCATTCTAAAAACATATTGCGTACGTCGATGTACACAATTAAAGCACTTAATAGCTCAGTACAAATAACAGTTAAGTATTTACAGAAGATAAAAGGCATTGTCAAAGAGCGATAAGGTATACTAGCGGCGGCGGCGGGGGCCGGGCTGCGTCTGTCGGGGCTCAGACGATGACCGTCGCGGGGTGGCGGGAGAAGGAAAAATGGCGTCTCTGCGCGGAAGAGGCAGAAGGCGACCGTGCGGCCCAGCGGGCTGGAAGACGCCTGTTTGCCGGCCGGGCGGGTCGAGCGAAATTCTTCTTGGTTGAGAAGGAGGGAGGTTCATCATTGCCCTTAAGAGACAGCAGAAGAAGACTGCATGAGTTCTCAACAACAAAAGCACCACACCTGTTTCTGTCACGCAATAGGTGCGGAGCCCACCTTTACAACAAGGCACTGATGAAGAGACGAACGCAGGTCATGTGCAGAGAGCAAACTGTGTACTGTATGCTTATCGCCAGACCAACATCAGTTAGGTACAAAATAACATCCGCCTCTGAAAATGAGTTTTGAAAAGTGATGGGTTCTCCATTCCTGAAGACACCAAATGGGATTGCATGGCTTTTTTCCTCATTATTTTTCTGTCTTTATTTGGCAATTCCTTATCAATTACAGACCAAAGGACACAATTCCTGTTCTATCACAATGAATGCACAAGACTACTTTTGAAAAACATCTTCTATGTGAGGCAATTTTGTTTGTAAGCTTTCGAATAGATCCTAGAACTGTATCTTTTAAAGTGGAGTGCCGAAGAAAACATTTTGCTGTTTACATGTTTTACCATAATGTTCAAGAGCCCAAAACATTTTGAAAGGGTAATAAAAAGCAGGGGCAGTACCAGATCCAGTC